GACCTGCAGGAAGATCAATATCAAAAGCCCTTGTTATCTACAACCCATTTTTCCCATGTTAAACTATTTTTTAAATTAATTTGTATACTTCCTTTCTCTTGATAGGGGACCTAAGGTGACTTTCTAGCTTAATACTACCAAAATCCTGATTATCAGCTAGAATGTTAAAACCCTTGTAATTTAAAATTGTACAAAATTGTTTTTTAAACCTAATTAGAAAGATAAAAATACAACACAGAGGTCCATTAGAGAATCCTTCCTGCACTATCAATCAGTGGACAAATGCCAAGTTAGATAAAAGACTCCTTACTTGCAGGCAAAAGGTCTAGCTTCCTATGAGAAGGAAATCCATACCTTGGGATCAGGCATTGGGAAAGTCCTCATCAGGCAGACCTCTGATAATGAACAGATCATGGGCATGCTTTCCTATAAATTAATTGGCATGGGTCAATACATTGATCTGCTTTAAATGAAATGCTAAAATATGATGTGCTGTTAATTTATTTCGTGTAAAAAGCTTTGCATAAATAAATCTAAAACTGATAAAAATAGAGGGAACCCAAGCGGTTAAAGAATTTTTGACCAAAAATGGACAACAGCCAGCACATTGTCTGTAGTTTTAAACAATTCTTCCTCTGTGCATGAGACAGGGCACTGTGGACAAGCATACATATGTGGGGTTGTTTGTTCTGCTCCACAGTCGCACAAGATGGAGGATTCTTTTAGGTAGTGCCATGTTGCCAGGTTGTCTTTTGATCTGCCCACTCCTCTTCTGAGTTTCTTCTTGGTTTCCCCCTGGAGGAAGACCTTCATGGGGGGGGGGGCATCCATTTGTGATTTCCTGGTTTAGCTGCTCAGAGAGATAGTCTTGCTGTTGGTTGGGGAACATTAAGAGGAGTGGTAGTTCTCATGAAGCTTTCCCTTGATTTGAGTCTACTGGGAGGAGGCCGATAGCCATGCAGAGGATGGCTTTCACAGTGTTCAACCGTATTTCCTTCACAGTCAGCAGCAACTTCCTGTAGCACTTGGGAGGGGGGGGGGGGCAATGCCAGCCAGCTTGTAGAGTCTATCAACAGGTGTATGTTTAAGACATCCTGTTATTATTCTGCATGCTTCATTCAGTGCTATGTTCACCTGCTTCATGTGGACAAACTTATGCCAAACAGGGCAGGCATACTCAGCAGTTGAGTAAGACAAGGCCAGGGCTGATGTTCTTATTATTAAATGAAATGCTAAAATATGGTGTGCTGTTATGGTCACTCATTCTACTGGATGCATCTGAGATGATGCATTTAGATACTAGTTGAACAGCTGGGTGAGGAACCTCTTTTAGCCTGAGAGCTCAATTCAGTTCTAGAAGACTTCTTGGGAACCATGTTGCAATGGTAAATGGAGCACGAGCCCATAACTAACCCTTAGGAAAGACATTTAAACCTTTTAGAATGGGTTCAGTGCATGGTCTAGAAAACATATACAAAAGCTGGGAAATCATCCAGTGATTATTGCATGGGGAAGAGACATGGTTGTGTGGAGAAGCTGAAAGGGCCAAATGTGGTCCCATGGGTTGGGTCTGTGGCCATATCTCACCAGGATTAGGACCAGACTACTAACTATGGCTGTAAAATGTCTAAATCAGATTTGTTCCAGATGTAAAAAACCAACACATGGCTGGGGATGAAAAGTGTTGTTAAAGACATCTGAAGGGCATTACGTAAGGAGAGTCTGCTTTATTGAAACAAAACAGGAAGAGCAATTTGAAATTGGTTAGTTTCCCTAAACCATAAGTAAGGGCACCATTTGCCTAGCATCAAACTCCACGGATATCAGTGGAAACATGCGCTTCCCATTACCTCCTTAAGGCTACTTGAGAAAGGAGCTCAGAGACTAAGACTTGTTCAGAACATAGTAAACCATAATTTGGTAATTGCATTAGAATATGAGTTTTCATAACAAGCTGTCTAATATGTAAGAGCACTACATGTATAGTGTCAAAGCAGCAGTTCATGGCTCTAGATTAAATGCTGTGGAAAAGAAAAAAGTACTGAAAAAGCCATGATCTTGTACAAGTGTATGACTCCTTAACACTCTATATTTACACATTTGGGCCAGCATACAAAACTGGAGTTTAATTTATAAGAAAGATGAGTTATTGATTATTGGAATTTTCTGTACTTTCAGCAAATCAAATGCAGCTAAGTAATTTCAGCAGTAGACACCACTAATTAAATTCATGTTTACTTCTGGGGGGAAATGCCTATATGTTGAGCTTTTCTCAATTCCACTTGACAGTTTTTCCATCTTTCAAGTTTTTCAGATTCTGAATATGCCATGACTGTTCTTTGTTTGGTAGGAATTTATTTGGACTGTACCTGATTTTGTTGTTTATCTAATTCTGTGGCCTAGGTTAATACCAGTTGTGGAGAGAACCTTGTTTTTGGAATGTCTTTCAGTCAACAGAGAGTAGAGTGTGAGACTGGCTATTAACATTTGTCCTTTTTGTCCCTTTGGGATTCAAATTGTATTTTGTTTATTTATTGGCTGTACATTTTATGTAAAGAGCCATCATGGTGTTGTGTTTTGAGTGTTGGACGATGTAGCTGGAGACCAGGATTAAAATCCCCACTCAACCATGGAAGTTCACTAGGTAGCCGGCCACACTCTCTGGATGTGCAAAACCTACTCTCTCAGCCTCAGAGAAAGCCAAGACCAGAACCCACTGTGAACAAATCTTGTCAAGAAAACCCCTATGAGTGGGTCACCTTAAGTTTGCCATAAATCAGAGGTGAATTGGAGACACACAACAACATTTTATTTACCATATTTCTGACAGTAAACTCACAGCAAAGTAATGATATAAAACAATGGCATGTTCTCTGATAGGTGTGATATACAGTTTTATAAGGTATGCGAAAGAAAGAGGAAAATAAAGCAGAAACAGTATGTATAACCACATTTGAAAGATCAGTAATGGGCGCGCAGAAGCAGGCACCCATTCCATACCTCCAGCAGTTGGGAAGTACTACTCTGCTGTTTCCCTGCTTTTCCACCCCATAGAATCACTTCCTCATTTCCATTTTTGAAGATGTTCAATGCATGGAAATGCTTTGATTCCGTATCTGGGAATGTGTTTCTTACACAATTGGGATTTTTGTGTATATGGAGGAAATCCAGCTAGTGCATCTCAGTAGCCTCTTTCTGAACATGTCCAGAGAAAGAGACCTCATGACTTCTCTGAGTATTTGGTTTCATGGTTGAATAGCTCTGTTAAGAATTACCATCAGTCAAAACCTGCCTTTCTGTGACTTAAAACCATTAAACCTGGTCCTACCCTCTGGAGCAGCTGTCTTTTCCGTGATAGCTTTTGAGATATTTAAAGAGTATAATCAGACATCTCTCAGACTTCTCTTCACCAGGCTGAACTTGCCCAATTCCCTCAAGCTTTGCTCATATGCTTTGGCCTCCATTTCTCTTATCATCCCTACTGCCCTTCTTTGAATCGACTCGAACCTATATCCTTCCTAAAAATGAGGTGCCCAGTACTGAAAACGAAATTCCAATTAGGTCTGACCGGTGTGAAATATAGTGGGGTTATTATTTCCCTTGTCTTGGAAACTGTAGTCCTATTAATAAAGTAGTGCGTCATTGAAAAGAGCATTTGAAGTATTTGGTCCATTTAGCAACCAGTAGAACAACAACTTGTTTGGATTGTTTATTATTGAACCATTCCAAACTATTTGCCACCACTACATAGGCACCACTACGAATCATCATTTGTTGTTATTTAGTCATTCAGTCGCTTCCGACTATTTGTGGCCTCATGGACCTTACGTTGTCCGAATAAGATTGTCCTCCAAGTGCGGTGTCCTGGCGGTTGGTACATAGATAACTGTGGAACCCTTTTCTTGACCTGCATGTTCTCCCGCAGTGAGGGCATCGGTTTCCAAGTGGAAGGCGGTGCCGGTCAGGGTTGGCTAACGTGCCTTCCTCTTGGCACATTTGTTTCGCCCTCCATTCATGCCTCTTCAAATTCTACAGCACTGCTAGTCACAGCTGACCTCCAGCTGGAACACTCAGGGCTTCCCAGTTCTCTGTGTCTATGCCACAGTTTTTAAGGTTGGCTTTAAATCCATCTTTAAATCTCTTTAACTGTCCTGCAACATTTTGTTTTCTGTTCTTGAGTTTGGAGTAAAGTAGCTACTTTGAGAGATGGTGATCAGGCATTCAGACAACATGGCCGGTCCAGCAGAGTTGATGGCGGAGGACCATCGCTTCAGTGCTGGTAGTTGTTGTTTCTTACAGCATGCTGACATTTGTCCGCCTCTCTTCCCAAGAAATTTGCAGGATTTTTTGGAGGCAATACTGATGGAATCATTCTAGAAGTTGCATGTGACATCTGTACATAGTCCACGTTTCGCAGGCATATAGCATGGACCAGCCCATGCCAGAGCTCCCTGACGGCTGTGACTACCCCCAGCTCTGTCGAGGTCAAGCCAGTCACTTCAAGGATAACATCCATCCATCTTGCCCTTGGTCGGTCCCTCTTCCTTTTTCCTTCCACTTTCCCCAGTATGATTGTCTTCTCCAAGCTTTCCTGTCTTCTCATTATGTAGCCAAAGTATTTCACCTTTGCCTCTAATATCCTTCCCTCCAGTGAGCAGCTGCTGCTGGTAAAAACCAGAGAGGGTTCTCAACAACAAAATTCTAATAGAACCAGCTATATTGATGGCTACTGGTAGGACACCGAGTGCCTTGAAAACTGCAGTGGTGCTAAATGTTGCTCATTCTTGTCTTCATAGCTAACCAGTTTATCATAGCATAAGTTGTTGCTGCCTAGATCCTTTCCTCAATCAGAAGGTATATCTCATATATCCATTTAAAGAAAAGCTGAGGAAATTTTGCAAACATTGGAGTGAAACAAAACAACAGCTATTAATGAAGGAAATCAGTTCTGGCACTGAGCGATGGTTTGAATTGTCTCCTTTTTTGTTCTTGTTTTTCAGATGAAAGAATCTGTTCACCGCCATTTATGGAGTTGACAAGTGCATGTGGAGGAGATACCTTGGAGCAAATAGAAAAGAATGGAATTGCATTCCCATTCAGTATGTCATTTGGCTTTTCATGATATCTATTAGGGAAGTTCGCACCAAAACAAATGTTGCACTCGAAAAGAGTTCCTAGTGGAATGTAGGAATTTATTGTATTTGCACAAAGTAAGAAGTGATGGCCAGCGAGTGTCTATAATTGGGGAGGAAGAAAAGTTTGGAATTGGATTGTTTGCAAATTTGCTTACATGCTAAACCTGTGTCAGTCAGCTGAGGATGAACAATTTGATTTGATAGAATAAATTCACAAGCAAGTGTTAAGTAAAGTGTTTGAACTCTAATGCAGTTCAGAGTGTATTTGCTTGAATGTGAGATGGAAGTTCCCCTCAAAAACTTTTCTTAACATTGTTCTGGCAGTATTATTATCATATTAATACCATATACAACGATATTCATATAATAGATTCATAGAGTTGGAAAAGACCTTGTGGGCCATCTAGTCCAATCCCCTGCCAAGAAGCAGAAAAATCACATTCAAAGCACACCTAGCAGATGGCCATCCAGTCTCTGTTTAAAAGCCTCCAATATCTGTCATATTAATTTCATATTGGTATGATAGAATCAGAATTTGGAAGAGACCACTTGGGCTATCTAGTCCAACCTCCTGCCCTGCAGGAAAAGCACAATCAAATTAGCCATTTCATACAATTTCTCTTAAATTACCAAGTTGCTAAACAACTGAATTGTAAATAATTTCTTGTAATGATAGGGGACATTGGCATCTTCAGATTATAAGAATATCTCTATTGGAGCAGCCTAATGATTCATGTCACTCAGCATCCTTCTTGCCAAAATGGCTAACCAGATGCTTCCATTAATCATGCAACTGATACAAGTTCTCAAAATGACTTGCAAAACAAATGCATCATAAACATACAACACATTACAGTACAGATTGAGTATCCCATATCCAAAATTATTGGGAAGAGAAATATTTTGAATACCTGTATTTGCATATATGTACATAATGATATCTCTGGGAAATGAGATCCAAGTCTAAACACAGCATTTGTTCAGGTTTCATAGACACCTTATACATATAGCCCAGGAATAATTTTATACACAATATGTTTAATAATTTTGTGCATGAAACAAAGTTTGTGTACATTGAACCATAAGAAAGCAAAGGTATCACTATTTCAACCACCCATGTGAACAATTTCACATTTTGGAGGATTTTGGAATTCTGGATAAGGGACAGAACAAAACTAATTAATCAATAAAATCACTGAACACACCCATAAATAATAATAATAATAATAATAATAATAATAATAATAATAAGTCATTTGTACCCGCCACCATCTCCCTGAAGGGACTCGGGGAGGTTAACAAAGCACTCAAAGTGCCACAGATAAAATAGAATTAGGTAAAGGTAAAGGTTTTCCCCTGAAATTAAGTCTAGTCGCGTCTGACTCTGGGGGTTGGTGTTCATCTCTATTTCTAAGCCAAAGAGCTGGAGTTGTTCATAGACATCTCCAAGCTCATGTGGCTGGTGTGACTGCATGGAGTGCCATTACTTTCCTGCCCGAGCAGTACCTCTTGATCTACTCACATTTGCATGTTTTCAAACTGCTAGGTTGGCAGAAACCTAGGCTGACAGTGGGAGTTCACCCCACTCCCCGGTTTCAAACTGGCAACCTTTCAGTCAGCAACTTCAGCATATCAGCGGTTTAACCCACTGCGCCACCAAGGCCTCCTTATAGAATTACATATATAGTCAAAGCAATACACAATTTGACTGAATACAATGGATGTCAATCGATAAAATTAAATAAAATTAAAAATTCTAAAACACAGTCATACTTGTGAGTCATTGGGTTTCTTCAAACACGAACTAAAGTGCATAACAATTATCAATGTCATCACATGACATCACCATAAACAAAACAGTTAAAGACATCACAGTAAATGTCACTCGGTTTTCACCTTTCATGCTACACAATTATAGCACTGTGGTTCAACAATAAGGGCCATGGCTCTTGGGTTTTATAGTTTGATGAAACTTACAGCTCTCTGACTGGGAATTCTAAATACCTCCTCCTAAACTGCCCATGTCGGATTCTATAAAATGTTGCCATCACAGATAAATTTAATCATAGTGCTATTATGTCATGTAAAGGGCAAAGTCTCTGGCAAAGCTAATTTCTACCACTAGAAAAGCTGCTATTCCCAATGATTACTCAACTCTCTTCACTATGTAGAGACACACAGAGGAGGGCTCTTGAAGATTCAATGATATAGGAGGTACATATAGGAGGAGGCAGCCCTTTAGATCACCTGGTCCCAGTCCATTCGTGGCACTAAAAAATAAGGCAACAAAGACTAGCTCTGGGAGCCAATAGACCTGACAAAGCGCTGAGGTAATGTAGACAAGACATCTGGTTCTAGTTCAAGTTCTTCCAGCCTTAGAATCATAAAATTGGAAGAGAAGTCATGGGCCATCCAGTCCAACCCCCTGCCAAGAAGCAGGAAAATTGCGTTCAAAGCCTTGTTCTGGACCAACATCACTTTTGGAAACATTTGTAAGATACTTCAATTATAATGGCTTTTTAGGTGCCTTGTCTACCATTATTGAAAAATAGGTGTGATAAATTAAATATCAAAACATATAAATTGTTCAAATTAAGCCCATCTGATAAGATCATAGGTGGCATATTAGCCAAAGCTGATAAAAATACTTTGATCTATAGAAGTCACTTCAGCCTTTGATGACAGTCCTCAATCAGTAAGGATCCCCAGATTGTGAGCCTGACCCATTTATTTTCAATAAATGTAATCCCATCTAGATCAGGATGAATATTCACCCTGTGTTAACATTCACAATGTTAACAGAGTAGTTTACAAACTAGATTAGAAACTGTTCATTAGGAATAATAGTGAACTGTTTGGCATCTGCTCTCCTTCTTTTATTTACAATGTGTATTTCATTTCCCCTCTGTAGTTTGTAAGACAAGAGTTGCCCATGGAACCAATTCTCATGAGGTGAGCATCTACATAAAGTTCCATCTACTGCTTGATTTTTTTAAATGTCATGGGTAGCTGTGCTGGCTGAAGAATTCTGGAATTGTGGTCCACTCTTGAAGTTGAGAATCAGAGCAAAAATGTCTGGAGGGCAAATAATGGGGTTCTTTCTTTTTACATCTCATATTTGATAAGGAATCATTGGTAACTTCATATTGTTAACCTCATATGACTCATATTGGTAACCTCATATGTCACAGTTATAGTCATTTTTTTATTATGAAGATCAGATCAACGGAGACCTATTCATTAAGGACTATGTAAAGACCAATTCATGAAATGCCATTAGGTCATTCTCCAACATAACAAGTTTTCTTTCCAACTTTGTTCCAGATAGATAACACTAGCCACTCACTTAGAGCAAAAGTGGGCAACATGGCCCTGCAACTGTTTTAGGATCGCAGCTCTCACTAATAATCTATATAAATAAAAAAAGGTAATGTTCGTTTGTGGGATTATCATAACTCAAAAACCACTCGACGAATTGATACCAAATTTGGACACAATACATCTATCAGGCCAACAAGTGACCATCACTCATAAAAACACTGAAAAACACAGCAGAAGATACTTTAAAAGCCAAAAAACAAAAATTATAATGCATGTGCAAAACCACACATATATATGCAAACACACACACATACACACACACACACACAACACATATGCACAGACTGGGCCACAGCAATGCATGGCAAGGGACAGCTAATAATAATAATAATAATAATAATAATATCTTTATTTGTATCCTGCTTTTTTCCCTCACGGGATCCAAAGTGGCTTACAACATTAGGCCTAGTCAGCATAACCAGTGGTGAAGAATGATGAAAACTGCTGTTCAACAACCATTAGCTGTGTAGTGACCTTCAAAAGGTTGCTACACCTGGCTTTCCAATGGCCACAGAATAGTAGTTGGGATAACCACAGTAGCTCAGTGGTAAGTCTGAGCAGTAGTGAATATCCAGCTGTAGTATAGTTTCACATGTGGAAAAGATCAGTCCCAAGACTATTGTGTCTCATCTGGAACCAATTCTACCAACCTTGGAAATAACTTATATATTCGAAACCTTGAGAGTTGCCATGGTAGCTTAGAATACCTATTACAGCAGACGTTGTTGTTGTGCCTTCAAGTCAACTCCAACTAATGGTGATCTGTTGTGGTGTTTTATTGGTGAGATTTAGTAAATAAATTTAGTAAATTTATTTAGTAAATAAATAAATAAGATTTGTTCAGAACAGGTTTGCCATTTTCCTCCTCCATTGCTGAAAATATGTGACTGGCCCACTCTGGGGATTTCTATCGCTGAACAGGGATATTGCACCATACTGACTCTCAAAAATTATTGATGTATGTACATCTATGTTAATTTTGTCGTGTCAGGAGCGACTTGAGAAACTGCAAGTCGCTTCTGTTGTGAGAGAATTGGCAGTCTGCAAGGACGTTGCCCAGGGGACTCCCAGATGATTTTGATGTTTTTATCATACTTGTGGGAGGCTTCTCTCATGTCCCCGCATGAGGAGCTGGAGTTGATAGAGGAAGCTCATCCGCCTCTCCCCGGATTCGAACCTGCGACCTATCGGTCTTCAGTCCTGCCGGCACAGAGGTTTAACCAGGGCTCCTATGTGAATAATATGATGGCATATGTCCGTGTGTGTGTGTGTGTGTGTGTCTGAACAAGAGATGAAAGTTATTGTGTGTTTCAACCAGAGATTAAAATTATTATGTGTGCACTGCTGCTAATTCTGTTGATGTAATACCAATGTATAAAGTAGTCATGTTTGAATTACAAGTGCTCATTGTAGAAAGTACATGTGTATGACTGTGTTTCCCTCTTTTTCAGATGGCTATCATATTCAACCAGGAAGGCTTGAAGGCCATTCAGCCACCATGTGTGATTCAAAGCTTCATCAACCATAACGCTGTCTTATACAAAGTCTTTGTAGTTGGAGAGTCATACACTGTGGTGAAGAGGCCGTCGGTTAAGAACTTCTCGGCAGGCGTTTCAGGTAAGCTTGGAGGTTGGCACCGGGACTGTGGCGCACCTGGCTGGGAGTCAGCTGCATTAAGGTCACTGACCGAAAGGTCATGAGTTAAATAAATACTGTAAATAATAAATAAATAAATAAATAAATAAATAACATGTGAGCATGAACAGGAGAGAAATCACTTCCTCTGAGGATGCTTGCCATAGATGCAGGCGAAACATCAGGAGATAATGCCTCTAGAACATGGCCATATAGCCCAAAAAAACCTACAACAACCCAGGAGAAAAATCTCCCAACACTTTCCTAAATGCTTAAACTTGTGCCAGAGATTTCTCAAGAAGGCACATGAGTGGAATCCTTGCAGAGAGCCATCTGTATGCTGAAAGCTCTGTGAAATGGAGCATGAATGCCACAATGACATTAGATGAGAACTAGATCAGGCCACCTCAAGCTTTCTCTTTAGAAAGTTTGTCCTTCCGTGCATTTTGAAGTTCAGCTCCCAAACTCCCAGGTGTGAAGGCCAGCAAACAAGCATTATAAGAGTCATAGTCATAAGACATTAGGAAGCCCAAGATCCCTTACCCTTGTTCTTAAATAAACAACAAACAAAAAACAATCAAAACAGGAGAAAAAGTAGCTGCTGTGACAACAAATTCTTATATAGGCTAATCTTCTCTTGCAGTTCCAATAACTATTTTAGAAGCAGCAACTCTGTTCCTAGTAGGATGAATATGGTCCTGCATTACCATATAACTTTTTACCCTCTTTGAGAACTCTTGCAAACTCCACTCTTTTCAGGTATTTTTCCTGCAGAAGAGAAGGCTGAGAGGAGACATGATAGCCATGTATAAATTTGTGAGGGGAAGTCAAAGGGAGAAGGGAGCAGGCTTGTTTCCTGCTGTCCTGGAGACTAGGATGTGGAACAATGGCTTCAAACTACAGGAAAGGAGATTCCACCTGAACATGAGTAAAAACTTCCTAAATGTGAGAACTGTTCAGCAGTGGAACTCTCTGCCTTGGAGTGTGGTGGAGGCTCCTTCTTTGGAGGCTTTTAAACAGAGGGTGGATGGCCATCTGTTGGGGGTGCTTTGAATGCGATTTTCCTGCTTCTTAGCAGCGGGTTGGCCCACAAGTTCTCTTCCYACTCTGATTCTATGATCTAGCCCATAGTTTGAGAACAATTATTTAAATAACCCACTAAAATTAAAAATATCTTTTTCTTGGCACCTGGACTCCTTCCTCTTATGATTTAGAATAGTTTGTGTTTTGAAATGAATTGAATTCTTAGATGAAATGTATGCCTCCCCCCCCCTTTTTTTCCCCCTTCTGATTTATGGTGTTGTGACTAAGAAACAAGTCATTTTAAAGTTTCAGTGGGTTTGTTTACTTTTTCTTCGCTCCCAGAAAATGTAATCATAACACTTCCTGTGTCTGCCWTATATTTCGCTCAACTCTCGTATGTACTGGATCTCTGCTGAATAAACTATGCTGTKCCTATGTGCAGGTGTTTTATGGCTTCTTAACCCAAGAATCAATGTTTTAGTGTCCAATTGCAGGATGAATTAACGGTGCCTACATGCAAGCGTCTTAAATTCCCAAACCAAATACAAATCAAGCTTCTTAATAGAAGTCATACTGACAGAAAATGAGAATTGATATAGCACTTAAACTATCTTTCACAATGTGAGACCTGCAAACTTTACTCAATAGATAAATTAACAAGACATTTAGTAGATTCACTTAAACAAGACCATCTTATAAGTAATGGTAGCTCTCAAGTATAGTGTGACTACAAGTTAAGAGTACCTTTGTAAAAAAAAAAAAGGTTTTTTTCCCTTCTGGTTTCAACCATCTCCATGCATAATGAATCAGAAATCACAAAAAAGTGTCAGGAACAATAATAGAAATACAAACCGTCATGTTTTGTATTTCCATTATTTCTTCCTTTGTATATGTATACAGGGTGATGGGTGCATTAAGATTTTCCTGCATTGACAGGGGCCTGTAGGTAAAGCTCTCATTAGCTAAGAAATGTTCATCTAAACATGGCATATTTGTAATGCAGTTACAAGCAGCAGTAGCACCTGAAATAAAGTTCTGCATTTTTGGAAACATTATTTACTGAACTGAGTAAGCCTGTACTTGACAGAAATATAGTTTCATCCATATAGGAGTGCACTTGTCTTGCCTTTTCTTTTCTTTTCTTTTCAAACCAGCATATATATCCGGTGTTGCCCAAGTGTGGATTTTCTAATGCTATATATTAGAAACTAGTTGTACCTGCCACACGTTGCTGTGGCTATCCTTCCCTCCCTCTTTCTTTCCTTCCTTCCTTCCTTCTCTTTTTTTTTCTTTCCTTCTCTCCTTCCTTTCTTCCTTCTTTACCTCTTTCCTTCCTTCCCCTACCTTTTCCTTTCTCTCCTTTCTTCCTTCTCTACCTATTCTTGGACTGTAACTCCTAGTCTTCCTGACTGATAGTATCTACCTACTATCTATCTCTATCTAATCTATATATCTTATCTTTCTGGAGGATTGCTGGGAGTTGCAGTCTAGGAATAGGAAATATGTATGGATTGGGATGCTCTCAAAGAAATCCAAGGAGAAGAAAGCTTGCAGCTTGGAAACAGTGCATTTGGAGCATCCTCTTCTCCTAAAGGGCCTCATCTAGGGGATGCTGGGAGCTGTAGTCCTAAAGAGAGTGTGGATATGCTTTTGTGTGTTTTGTTTGCCAGGGAGAGTTGTTTTTATGCGTGTGCTGTGGTGACCTTTTGCTTTTTTTTTTGGCCTTTAAAGTCCCTTCTGTTGCGTTTTTCAGTGTTTTTATGAGTGATGGTCACTTGTTGGCCATCCAATGGTTGCATCAATTCATCCAGTGGTTTTTGAGTTATGTTCATCCCACAAACAAACATTAAATTTTTATTTATATAGATGCTCATAGTTATTCCTATATCTGAATGTATGTATGTATGTATGTATGGTGGAGAGCTATAGCTTGACCAAACTGCTCGGACAGGGTTCCTTATTGAGGAGCTCTCAATAAGGCTGTCCCGCTGCCATCATCCCCACCAGAAGTCGACGAAGATCCTCAATTTCTAGGTCCTCCTATGGGATGATAAAATCACACTAGAACGGGCATGGACAAACTTCGGCCCTCTGGGTGTTTTGGACTTCAACCCTCACAATTCCTAACAACTGGTAGGCTGTTAGGAATTGTGGGAGTTGAAGTCCAAAACACCCAGAGAGCTGACGTTTGCCCATGCCTGCACTAGAGGACCTGCAGATACCTGGAGAAGTTTTCTTTGTATGAGCCTCCAGGTCCTCCATTATACCTCTGTGATCAACTTTGTCCTGGAGGACCTAAGGATTCCGGCTTCCACTTCTGCAAATCTGCAAAAGTGAAAGCCGAAAACTTGGGAGAGTCCGCTCTCACAGTTAGGAAGTGGAATCTCCTTTCCTATAGCTTGAAGCCATTGTTCCGCGTCCTAGTCTCCAGAGAAGCAGAAAATAAGTTTGCTCCCTCCTCCCCGTGGCTTCCTCTCACATATTTATACATGGCCCTCATCATGTCTCAGCCTTCTCTTCTTCAGGCTTGACATGCCTAGCTCTTTAAGCCGCTCCTTGTAGAGTTTGATCTCCAGACCTTTGATCACATTAGTTGCTCTCCTCTGGACACATTCTAGCTTGTCAACATCTCCAGTTGCAGTGCCCAAAATTGGACACAGTATTTCAGATGTGGTCTGATCTAGGCAGAATAGAGGGGCAGCATGGCTTTCCTGGATCTAGATACTATACTCCTATTGATGCAGGCCAAAATCCCATTGGCTTTTTTTGCCGCCGCTTGACATTGTTGGCTCATGTTTAACTTGTTGTCCACGAGGACTCCAAGATCTTTTTCACATGTACTGCTATCGAACCAGCCTCCCCCCCCCCCAATTCTGTATCTTTGCATTTCTGATATCTTTTCATCAGTTATGCAGAAATTTTGAGACCAAATACCCACATTGAATCAAGTACCTATAGGGAGAATCTTACCAAAGAAAAAAAGCAATGGAAACTTAAAAGGAGAGAGGAGATAAGAACAAATGACTGTTTTTGCTTCTGTCAATTACATGATAGATTTACAAAAGATGCAAGGGTAGAGTTTTCAACTAGAAAATCGGAATTTCGTCCATTTTCCCCCTCTATAATTAAACCTCTAGTGCAGTGGTTCTCAACCTGTGGGTCCCCAGATGTTTTGGCCTTCAGCTCCCAGAAATACTAACAGCTGGTAAACTGGCTGGGATCTCTGGGGGTTGTAGGCCAAAACACCTGGGGACCCACAGAGTGAGAACCACTGCCCTAGTGGGATGAAATATGTCTTGCTACCTCCAGTTTAAAGTTAGTGCAAATGAGGGTAGTTCAGATAGCGTCCATGGCTTCTATTGAACCTTAGGGTTGCACTGCCCCCTTGTGTTTGTGAATTATATTTTTGGGGCCCAAGGTGACATGAACAGCCAACCTTCAGTGAAGAGAGAGCTGGTAGAATCGCAGGGAAAGACGCCTCTTTTTTTTTCCTGAAGGACAGATATTGCGGTTTTGCTTGCCCTATGGAAAAGTAGGAAATTTGGGAGGATATAAAGAAATTATACTCTATTTTCCCTTTTTTTAAATGAAGTTTTATTGCATTAGAATGCTAGGAACTGTAAAGTATCCAGATTTGCACACTAGACAGCACATTTTTTTTCCATGTGAGGAGCGACTTGAGAAAATGCAAGTCGCTTCTGGTGTGAGAGAATTGGCTGTCTGCAAGGATGTTGCCCATGGGACACTAGGATGTGTTACCATCCTGTATGAGGCTTCTCTCTTGTTCCCACATGAGTAGCTGGAGCTGACAGACAGGAGCTCACTTCTTCTTTTTTTAAGTCCATGGAAATGAAAGCGAAGAGTCACCTCATAAGTTAATATATTAGAAACTCCAATTCCAATGTTTTCAGCAGTACCCTTGTAGTTTATTTGGATTTTATCTTGGATATTTTCTAGCCCCATGGGAAATGTATTTCAGGATGTAAAAATGTCACGTACCACAAGCATGTAGAATGAGGGATATTTTACAAAACCCAGGCATCCAGAACCGGACAACATATATCCACATGATGCAGAATGGGAGATAGTTTGGTGGGAGTTTTTATGAGTATCTGACATTATTTTGTTTGCTGAAAAATTATCACTATAACATTGGTTTAAAAAGTGTCTCCTTCCACACAGTAATATTTTTAAATATATTTTAATTAAATTTTAACAGAAAAAAACCCAAAATAAAGAAAAGTAACAATACTTAATATACATAAGCACAGATATACATAAATGAGAATTACACATCAAACTGCACAACATAAGCTCTGCTGTAATTAATTTGTAGTCTAAACTACAAACATATGTACAGGTAGTCCTCAAGTTGTGAACAAGATAGGTTCAGTAGGTTTGTTCTTAAACTGAACTTGTATATATATCGGAACAGGTACATTTTGTAAGTGTAACTCCAGCCAAATATATATAAATAGTTAATTAGCCCAAAGATTTGTTTTAGAGACATTTGTTTCAATTTATAGTAGCCCTTATCTGGACTTCCATTTACCTGCACCTGGGGGGGAAATAGTCTCTTAAGGTCCTCCAGCACAGTTGTATGTTTTCCCCAGAAGTTACCAAAGAGTCACACTGGAGGATATCTCTCTAAGAATCTGTAAGTCCTCCAGTGCAGCAGGAGGAATCGGAAGTCAAGTAATTTAATGGTGTTTGGTCATATTTGCAGTTTTAAGTGATCACTGTCTAGCCAAGAACACATTCCCTGCAAATACAGGCACCTTACTGTACTTTGAAATGCCACCTTCGATCCTACATATATTTTTGAAGTATCAAAAAAAAGTAGCAAGAAGAGAGGAAAAAACCTGCCCTTTGCTTTTTGGCTTCAAAATTTCTGGAGAATTTATATCACTACCTTTATGTAGCCTTTACACTTCTGGAATTCTGTTTTTAAGAGTAATAATAATAACATCAACAACAACCTTTATTCTTGTACCCCACCACCATCTCCCCAAAAGGATTCGGAGCGGTTTAAACACGGCACCAAAGTGCCTAAAAACCGAGGATAAAATAAAACACTGTATAAAATACTATATAGTAAAACATATAAACATATAAAAACAACAACTAGAACTCAATAAAATTTCACATTAACATTACTCTTTTTTTTTCAACCTGCAGATAGAGAATCAATATTTTTCAACAGCCACAACGTATCAAAACCAGAATCCTCTTCCATTCTAACTGCAGTAAGTATTATGGGTGTCTTTCTGGAAATAATTACTCATTGTGTGGTTCAAAGTAAGAAATAGAGCTCAGTGTCACGTCTTGTATAGATCTCTGGATTGGTAGCCATTAGTTCTTAATTTACTCTGGGTGTTGTTGCTTCAGCTCTGAATCATCCATGAAAGCCTCTTGAAATGTTTTGTTACGTCTTTTATCTCAAGTGACACAGAAGGTTGTTACCAGATCACAGAAACTACTTAACTATTTCAGGCTATTGGTTGTGGCTCAATGGTTGTTTTTATACTGTGTTATATTGCTGTTGTTTTATATTGTTTTATGATGTTGTCTATTTTAACTATGTTGATGTGTTGATCGGGCTTCTCCCCATGTAAGCTGCCCCGAGTCCCTTCGGGGAGATGGAAGTGGGGTACAAAAATAAAGTTGTTGTTGTCGTTGTTGTTTACTCAAACTTGGCTGGGAAGTGTATGGGGGGGCACCCTATCTTTTTAAAAACTAAATCTCCGGGGCTATCTTAAGTCAACCAGGTTGTAGAATTTGGGGGGAAACAGTCCCCAAAATTAACATTTCTGTCTCAAAATATTAGGCAAAGCTCTAACCCTTGAACTGCTGTTGTTCTTGCTGTTATTTAATCTGGAAATGCTCAGAACTGAATGAAGGATTTTCCATATACAAAATATGTGCTTTACTACTGAACTGGGCAAAATAAGTGCTGAAAACCCCAATGATTCCTTAGACACCTGCAAAAAATGTAGTTTTGATTCATAAACCAGAACACAGATTTTCACTGTTGCTCCTTGAATAGCCACAGATCCTCTATCATTGCATAACTTCAACATTATCCTGTTCTAAAATCTGCTGTGTGAGTCTGGAAATAAGTTAATTAAATCCTATCCACTTCAGTTAATTAGATTGAAAAATGTGACCCTGGCCCAAAGACGTGATTGGCCTGCATTTAAATGAAAACAACTGGATGGTAGGACAATATGTTTGTAATTGGAGCTCTCCGTTTATTAAACATGCCCCTCTTTTCTCTTTGTAGCTTGATAAGATAGAAGGTGTCTTTGAGAGGCCAAATGACGACGTCATCCGGTCAATCTCGAAGACATTGAGGCAAGCACTGGGGATTTCTCTCTTTGGGATAGACATCATCATTAACAACCAGACTGGTCAGCATGCCGTCATTGATATCAATGCATTCCCAGGTAAGAGTCAGCTATTACACAGATATAAACATATTGCATTCTTCCTTTCTCACCCCGAAGGAGACTCAGGGCTGATCCCAGAACACATATACGGCAAACATTCAATACCAATTATACAATCACAAGACAGACAACAGATAGAAGTCTGCGCCGAAGGATGGAAAGGTTATTCAGAGCCAATTTTCATATTGCATACGATTGAGGACATTATGACATTTTCATAGCACTGGCATTTGGATATCAGCATTACATTGGGTCCATGTCCTCTTGTGGAAAGTGGAGACAATGAGTTGGGGGTGCAGACCACATCCACACATTTGCTGAATGTACAGAAAGGATCTTCTGAATGACAAAGAAAGAGAGTGGCTTTTGCTTTGATTCATAGTGTCCTGCCCCCCTCTTATTGTTGTCTTCTGCCCCAAAGCTGATTTGTTAGATGTCTAATTCACATCAGCCTCTTTGTACTCTATTACTTCCTCTTCATTTTAGCCAACTGCCTGCCTCTGATCATATCTACATAATTCAGCCTCCCATGAGACATCCATTTGGCTTTTCTAGATTAGCCCAAGCCAGGAATATTCCTGTAACCATTCCAATCATGTAGGCACTTAAGAAGCCTGGTCAGTCCAATTTCTGTCAGTCCAATCACTGTTGTTACCTTTTTGTAAAAAAACAACAACAAAACAGTCAGTACTTTATTCTATGTGGTTAGGGGCACTGGAGACTCATAGAATCATAGAATCAAAGAGTTGGAAGAGACCTCATGGGCCATCCAGTCCAACCCCCTGCCAAGAAGCAGGAATATTGCATTCAAATCAACCCTGACAGATGGCCATCCAGCCTCTGTTTAAAAGCTTCCAAAGAAGGAGCCTCCACCACACTCCAGGGCAGAGAGTTCCACTGCTGAACGGCTCTCACAGTCAGGAAATTCTTCCTCATGTTCAGATGCTGCTAGGCTGAGTGACTCCTGCAAAAGTTAACAATCACAATTTTTTAAATGGCTGTTTTCTTTACTTGAGAAATCTTTTATGTCCTCCAGCATCTGCTGGAATATTTTAATGTGTTGTCGAAGGCTTTCATGACCGGAATCACTGGGTTGCTGTGAATTTTCCGGGCTGTATGGCCAAGATCCAGAAACATTCTCTCCTGACGTTTTGCCCACATCTATGACAAGCATCCTCAGAGGTTGTGAGGTCTGTTGGAAACCAAGCAAGTGAGGTTTATATATCCGTGGACTGTCCAGGGTGCAAGAAAGAACTCTTGTCTGTTTGATGCAAGTGTGAGTGTTGCAATTGGCCGCCTTGTTGGACTGGATGGCCCACGAGGTCTCTTCCAACTCTATGATTCTATGATTAGCATTGACTGGCCTTGCAGCTTGAAAGCCTGGCTGCTTCCTGCCTGGAGGCATCCTTTGTTGGGAGGTGTTACCTAGCCCTGATTGAAAAGCTGGACCATTCTAACAACCACCATGTCAGACTACGCAGAGAAGCCATTGAAAGGGAATGCTTCTGGAACATGGTCACACAGCCCAGAAAACTCACAGCAACCCGGAATATTTTAAATCAAATCTGCAAAAATCAAACCTGCAGATGTACAGGAGTAAAGTAGTGTGTAGATGAAGGTACTATTTCATATGACTTGCATAAATATGGCGACTCAGTACAGTGAACATCAGTCTTTGAGGGACTGCCATAGCACCCTACACAGAGGCCGTCTCTTCTAATTTTGGAAGCAAGGTCAGATTTAAGAATATTGAGCTAGCTCAAAGCTTTCCAAACTGAGTGTCATGACACACCAGTGTGTCGTCCCTTGAATAGTCTTGGCAGCCACTTGGATCAGCGATGCTCATTAAAATTTGTCTCTCCTCACACCTTTCCATTGCTCCTTACTTCCATCTTTCCCTACTACTATCCATTGCTCCGTGCCTGGATCTTTCCTCTTGATTTCCTTTCTTTAGTGTCTGACACCACTTTAATTGCCATGGCTCAGTACTATGCAATCCTGGGATTTGCAGTTTGGTGAGGCAGCAGCATTCTTTGGCAGAGAAGACTAAGACCTTGTCAAATTAGAGTCCCCCTTGATTCAATAGCATTGAACCAGGACTCTCATGGGAGCACCAACATAAACATTATACATATTAGAGACCGGGAAAAAAGGACCTTTCATACGTTCTTGAGAGACATAGAACAGCTACAGCTTTATGTAATATAATACCCATATAATATGTGGTGAAAGGTTGACGGTTCGAATCCGAGGAACAGGGTGAGCCCCCTTCTGTCAGCTCCAGCTTCTCATGTGGGGACATGAGAGAAGCCTCCCACAGAATGGTTAAACATCTGGGTGTTCCCAGGGCAACCTTTTTGGAGACAGCCAATTCTCTCACACAAGAAACGACTTGCAGTTTCTCAAGTCACTCCAGACACGGAAAAAAAATGTGATTCCTGCAAGCGTCACAATATATGTAGTGTTGGGGCTTACGAGAAGGGATAAGATGACTTGAATGGCAGTAAAATACTCAAAGATGTAGCCATGTCAGTCTGAATCAGTAAGCAAGGGGTCTGAGAGAGAAAGAAGTTGGTAGTATAAGCTTTCATAGACTTACATAAATCTGCTTCGCCAGGTGCAGTTTGACTGAGACAGAGAACCTAGTTCTCTGAATCGAAAGGTTTACCCAAACTAAACAAAATCAGTTTCAGGCTATGTCTCCTGTGTTTAGATTAACATTTCTTACTATAGACCTTAAAATGTCCAGGTTTCCCTATTTTAGCCTATGTTTATTTTATTCTGTCATGAAGATTTATCATTGCTCTGAAAAACAACTTTCCTTAGAAAGTGCAGCTAGCAACATGTTGGCCTCCCTTTGCTTTATTGCATTCTCACATCACTTTGGAGTGGAAAGTTGTTTCATTTCCTTCTTTCCATGATCTTGGGGGTTGTCCCACATAAACCTAATTTCCTCCCCCACCTGATCAGCTTGTCAAATTCTAAAAGGGGAGAATGCTATGAGAATTTGGAAATCCCACTAACCCTCTCTCATCTTGAGTTTTTATTCATTACTTTGGTTTGTGTGGGCCTAAAAAACTTATAGCTCCAAAAGTGCCTTTTCAAAGCTCTGAATGCTTTCTTCTCATTTTCATCCAAAACAAGCAAATATATATACAAGTTGGGTATCCCTTGTTTGAAATGCTTGAGACCAGAAGTGTCTTGGATTTCCCCCCGTATATTGCAATATTTGCAATATTTTGGAGATGGGACCCATTATTATAATAATACATCTTCTTTACATTCTGCCCTTCTCCCCTACGGGACTCAGAGTGGATTGCCGCATTTACAGCAGATACAGGCAAACGTTCAGTGCCTTTACAATAATAATGGTAATATGCAAGAGCTGGTTTTGGATCAAACTGGGGGCCAAAATTATTTGGGGAGCTGTCTAGTCAAAAGCACAGTGGGACATCCATGTTTTATGCTTCATATACACCATATGCACATAGTCTGAAGGTAATTACTTGTTTAATAACTGTGTGCATGAAGCAAAGTTTGCGTACATTGAAAAGCAAAGGTGTCACAGTCTCAGCTGTTTCGATTTTGGAATGCCAGATAAAGGATACTCAACCTGTATTATATGAATATAAACCCACTTTGATTGCAAAAGCAATATATTCTTAATGTGGGTTGTTCTAGGTTTTTCGGGCTGCATGACCATGTTCTAGAAGCATTTTCTCTTGACGTTTTGCCTGCATCTATGGCAGGCATCCTCAGAAGTTGTGACGTCTGTTGGAAACTAGGAAAATTGGGTATATATATTTGTGGAAAGTCCAGAGTGGGAGAAAGAACTCTTGTCTGTTGGAAGCAGGTGTGAATGTTTCAATTGGCCACCTTGACATTTGATGGCCTGACAGTTTTTAAGTGTGGCTTGTTACTGCCTGAGAGAATCCTTTGTTGAGAGGTGATTAGGTGTTCCTTATTGTTTCTTGTCTGGAGTTTCTTGCTTGGGTTTTGTACTTTATTTACTGTTAAAACAGAGTTTTTTTTTAATACTGGTAGCCAGTAAATATCAGGAGAGAATGCTTCTAGAACATGGCCATACAGCCTGAAAAACAACTACCCAGTGATTCTGGCCATGAAAGCCTTCGACAGTATTCTTAATGTGCTTTTGAGAAGTCCAGGTGGTTTAATATTCTGCTGGTTGTGGCCCCATGGAGAAAGTGGTCTCTTTATTAATTGTTGCTCCTTGTGTATTGTGGATGAGAAGGGAGATGAAAGAAATGCATTAACTCATCTTGATTGGAAAGATTGACTTCATCTGATTCTTTCTCACCTCTTTCTTCCTGATTCCTTTCTCAGGGTATGAGGGTGTCTCAGAGTTCTTCACGGACCTCCTGAACCACATAGCTGCCGTCCTGCAGGGCCAGTCTCCGGAGGTGTCCCCGCTAAGCCGTAGCAAGCACCTGGCCGAGCAAACCAGCCTTGTGGGGGAGCGGACATGCTGTGCGGCCGCAGCCTGCCGGAGCCTGGTGGGCAAAGACCCCTGGATTGTGGACAGCGAGACCAACAGCTCCGTGAAGCTTCAGCACCAGAGACTAGGCTGTAACTCGGCAGTGTCTCCGAGCTTTCAGCAACACTGTGTTGCCACATTGGCAACGAAAGCCTCCTCCCAATAACCCAATCAGTGCCACAGACTGAGAGAGAGAAAGAGAGAGAAAACTGTAGGCTCAAGGATCAGGACAGGCTGGTTGGTAATGCTACTACTAAACAAAACAAATCTTTGTTGATTCAACGTGATTTTGAAAATGAAAACAAAATTAGCACTCTGGGTCCACTTCATCAGATTCCTATTGTAGATCTGTAGTGAAATTACACACATGGGTGTGTATGTCTGTGTGTGTCTGTGTGTGCATGTGTCTTAATCACTAGACCTTAATATAGGAGGATGGTTTTTGTATTCCACCCCACCTCTCTTGCTCCCCTCTTTATAACTGTTAGTGACGAGGATCTCAAGGCTAAACCTCAAAGACTGAATAGGATGGCGCTGAAAATGTCTTCAGGTGAAATTAGCAGCCCCTTTTCTTGGTTCCTTCCCAACACAACGCAAAGAGTAAAGTGAGAGTCTACACATTTGTCATTTCTGTGCTACGTGTTTATTATTTGTGTACTGAACAAGGTAAAACCTAAAAGCCCATGTTTGGTGTTCTTCACTTTGACTAGAGCCACCTTCAAACTGTCTCCTGAATAAGAAATATTGATTAGATTCTCATTTACTACTCTGAAAAATATATCCCATCACCTTGTTAAATTTCATAACAGAAGAAGGTTGATTCAACACTACTGAGGTTGGGAATCATATGGCCCTCGAGATGATGTAGGACTGTAACTCCCAAGAGTAATGATGATGGGGGATGCTTGGAGTTACATTTCAGAAATATCTGGAGGACTTGATGTTTCTCATCTCTGACTTATCTTGCCTCACGGGTTGGGAACATTAGCATATCTGACACAAGGGGTAACCCAGGGAAGTTGTTTATTTACTGGTCCTTTTTCATTGTCTGCTGCTTTACTGATCCTTAAATTCCAACTATCTTTGTGACATGCTCCATCATTTCTTCAACATTGGGCATTATCTTTTAGTTAAAAGGTGGAAGGGTTTGTTTTTTAATGGAGTTCACTCCCCAGAATCCCACAACCAACCTAGTCAGTGAGTTCTGGGAGTTGCAGTCCAAAAATAATTTCTCCAAGGTCGAATTCCTTCACACTATTCCATCCACATCTCTTGGGTTGATTATTTGGGGATAACTTCGCAAGGACAAGATATACTAACCCGTCTTTTGCAGTCCTACCGTATGTTGACTCATGTGCATGCCTAAGCTGTTTAAGGAAATGCCATTAAAAGTGTCATACTTCACCAGGGGAGTGACTGAATGGGCTTGGAGTCTATGGACTAGTTTGCACATTGATTGATATGGCCTTTCTGTGTGAGGCAAGGGACTATGTGAATGCACTACACATCCATCAGGATCCATAGAACAATAACTAATGATGAAAACAGTGAAATGAGGAGAAGGGTGATATGCCTGGGGCCTACTATGTGTCCTCCAAATCTTCTCCGAAGGGCTGGGAAACCTTGTGGGGCAAATTTTCTGTTGTTACAGATGGCTGGAGAAGGGAGGGGAAAGGAAAATAAGAGAAGGAATAGAAGAGGACTCTATTACGATAGTGGTTCGTGGCTAGCATTTTGGATTTAGACCAGAGGCAGACAAATAAAATGTATATGGTCTCCTATCAGGTGCACCTTCCCTCTCCTATCCCCTCAGGAAAGGTGTTTTTAATTATCACTTCTTGTATATACAGAAGCATACAAGAACAACCATTCCCCTTCAGATCCTTTTTAGCCTCTCGTTTTGCCCTTAAAAATGGATGTTGACTTCCAGTTACTTTTTGTTAGGGAAACTTCCCTAAAATATAGCAGCAGAGCATCCAAAAACAAACAGGATACAAAAGTTGAGCATCAGCTCATTAGCGAGCAGAGCGTGAAGTGCCGTGTGATGTGGCTGTAAAGAATTAAGAGCTTAGGAGGTAAATATACAGAGTCCAGTCTTTAAAAAAATCACAAAAGGTTTATTTCTAATAATAAGAAATAACCACATGTCTTAATAATCAAGAACTGGGTCTGAGCTACTCTAATACCCAGGTTTCAAGAGAGGGAAAAACTCAATCACTACATCTCTCTTGACACACAAGCAGAGAGAGATCTCAAAGCACACAGCACATACTCTCAGCACTAAAATGTAAAAAGGCAGAAATCAGATTCAAAAAGCTTGAGTAGAAAAGTATCCAGAAACAGAGAGGAGAGAAGAAATAAATACATTCCCAACTGTTATACAGAAGACACGGAAGAGGGGAAACCCTTAATCTATACTAAACTAACTACTCCTCAATGGGGACTTAAGACTTGGGCAGTGTGGAGTTGAATCCCAACACGTTTAACCTGAGGTGTGTAGTTTGTAGTGCATCAGATCCAAAGATATCAGAATTGCCCCTTGGCTCCCCAACTTGCTCATTCGGAGTCTGGCTGAAGTGCAGCGATATGGGCTGTACACATTACTCTTCCCCTTTGTTTACTTCTTTTTCTTGGGCGAAAAGGAAGCTATTTATCATGTGGATGTATAGGCAACATCAGGTTGTACTTTGTCAGGTTATACAATGAAACCTGAGTATTCCCAGTCCCTCAAACCTGGTAAAAATGACCCATTCCTGGAAGTGTATAACATATTACTTTACCCTCCCATCCCCTTGATACCAGGTATTTTTTAATCTCTGGAAAGGAAAGGAAAGAGAACGAAAAGTGTCTCATGAAATTTTGGACTGGAGGAGAGGAAAATAAGATTTCCAGAGTCAGTGAAACAAAAGAAAAGTGTTTATCTAATCCTTAGGAGTATATTTTGTGAGGAAGGAGAGATAGGAGGGCTAATATATCTACAAAAATATTTAAATTTAAGCAGAAGCCTGTAATGAACTACAAACATTATTATTCTTTTTATATAAAAGGATATTCTTATTTTAAAATAGAAGTTAGAGATCATCAGATCTTTGTTCTGAATTCCTATATCAAATTCTGATCCTAACAATATTAAATAATTACCTTCCCTACTACTAAAAGTTGACATTGTGTCATAACAAAAGTAAGGGCTTGTCTGCCATATTTTCCAGCCAGTGGGATAGAAGTGAAACATAGGTTGAATATGGATTTGTTAGCTTCTTTGTCAATCCATGAGCTAAAAGAACCAACTAAAACCTTTCTTTTCAGCTTGGTTTTGTGTGAATGCGGGTGTTTGTGCAACACAAGCCAGGACGTCAGGTCGCCCTAGTGCACATGGCATCTCTGAAAGCAACTGACTCTCCCTGAAATATTTAATAAGTCATAATTAGTTGTCATCTTGCTTGGATCACAAAACAAACATCTTGAATTAGAATCATGCTTCTTGCTTTACAAAAGTGTGAATTTAGCCCTTGCTTTTGGAGAGCAGTCAGTCTACCATATGGCATTACTACCTTACCATTTTTTGCAACCATTATCCCCACCATGACACCCTTCATTTGTTAAAATGACAATATTCAAATTGGGTTACGAGATGAGCATCCCAAAATAGTTGTTCAGCCCAATTGAGTAATGGGAGACATTTCAGAACTAACTGTTTACATTAATCTGAGTATTGGATCCAATTGCAGTGTCCTTAATGCTGTTTTCTTGTTTTAATAATGACTAAAGAATTTATTTTATTGGCTGCCTTCTACATTTTGGTTGGCTTTATTTTGCACTGCTTGATTACTTCAAAATAAACTACTGAAATATAATTGTGCATTTTTATATTTGTTTACAAATGATTATTAACTATGTTGTCGAAGGCTTTCATGGCCAGAATCACTGAGTTGCTGTGAATTTTCTGGGCTGTATGGCTATGTTCCAGAAGCATTCTCTCCTGACGTTTCATCCACATCTATGGCAGGCATCCTCAGAGGTTGTGTTGTCTGTTGGAAACGAGGCAAGTGAGGTTTATATATCTGTGGAAATCATGAAAATGAACAAAATATGGAAACCAGTTTTTAAAAAAACCTCTAAAATCAGGACAGTAAATAAAGAAAGCACTCAAAAAACAGGGGAATTCCAGACTAGAATCAATCAGGGCCAGCTTTTTTTTTTCATGTCAGGAACAACATGACTTGAGAAACTGCAAGTCACTTCTGGTGTGAGAGAATTGGCTGTCTGCATGGATGTTGTCCAGCGGACGCGCAGATGTTTTGATGTTTTACCATCCTTGTGGGAGTCTTCTCTCATGTCCCCACATGGGGAGCTGGAGCTGAGAGAGGGAGCTCATCCACACTCTCCCTGAATTTGAACCTCCGATCTGTCGGTCTTCTGTCCTGCCGGCACAAGAGTTTAACCCATTGCGCCACTGGAGGCTCCTAACATCTCCCAACAAAGGATTCCCCCAAGCAGCAACCAGCCAAGCTTTGAAGCTGCAAGGCCATTAAATGTGAATCAAGGTGACAATTTGCAACATTCACACTTGCATCAAACAGACAAGAGTTCTTTCTCCCATCCTGGACATTCCACAGATATATAAACCTCATTTTCCTAGTTTCCAGCAGACCTCACAACCTCCAAAGATGCTGCCATAGATGCAGGTGAAACGTCAGGAGAGAATGCTTCTGGAACATGGCCATACAGCCCGGAAAACTCATGGCCATCTGATTATTAAGTATATTTTGTAACTTCTCTGAAGTCTTAACACAGAATATGTCTTAGAGAAATACATCCCGGATCTTGATTATAACTAGAACCTGAGTTTCTGCAGCTGGGTAGGTTGCCAGCTTATTTCTTCCCATTCCTATAACTGATGCTAATTTAACAAACATAATGATGTGATTTTTTTTAAAAATCCCACAAATATTCTGAAATTAGAAGGCATTATAACGGGATTCATCGGATATCTTACCATTTTTAAAGTATTTTTCTTCTGTTGTAATATATTGAGTCTAACAACAACAATACTGCAGGGTTGTTGGTGTCAAAGAAAGTGTGGATGTTCTCCAATGAACTACACAGTAGAAGTGTTACCAAAAGCAAAACAAAAAAGTAGTTACATGGTTTTTAAATGGTGTGCTGCAGTTACGCCATAGCTCTTGAGCTCCTATTTGGTTCTGGAGGTATTCTGGAAACATTTCTATATTTTTTGTTTCTAAGGACATCTTTCTGTGTGTGAACTTGTCCCTCTGAATGTCTTCACATTTGGACAGGCATAGTGTTCCCTGTTAAACATTGACTTCAGTCTTGACTATGGTAGATCCATTCAGTTAATTACATTTACCTGTGTATTTACTTATCATTCAGCATTTAATTTAATTCGTCTACTCTGGTTGGGACTAACCAGCAAGATGTCAGCCCCAGAGTGAAAAGAGTGAACACTTTTCCATCAAGAGGAAAAAGTATTCTGAGTTTTTCTATTTGGCTCAGTTTGCACCAGGAAAAAAACTATTGTGGCAGGTGAGTAAGCACCCAAAAAGTCCCCAACAGACCTTGGAGTAGTTTTAGTGTTGTTCTTCAAATGTTTGTGACTTTGAAGTGATAGATGTGAAGGATGAAAGGTTTTATGTATACGTTCACATAAGCTGCTTTCAGTGTTTTCTTTGTTCTTCCCTTTTTAAAGAAAAGCACAGCCATCTGATGAAAAGTGGGTGCAAGATTGAGGGCTGGCACAAACAAGAGAAACAGCTTACTGATGTAATGTTCAATGCACACTCTGTAACTGTCCTTAGGAGAATGAATATATATATATATATATATATATATATATATATATATATATATGGCTCCTGGTTTCATTTTTCAGTTATTTGGGTACATTGCCATATTGATCTACAGAATCCTGGATAAGGGTGATCAAAAGTAAGAATACGTATGAAACAGCCTTTCAGTGTACCTTTTGTTTAAGCAGCCCTTCATATGTGTTCATGAAGCTTGTTTGTTTGTGAAGCATGTACATCACACACTTGCTGATATATAACAGCTGAGAAATTTGTAAACTTAATACCAGAAGATTTGCTACAGTTTGCACATAAAATGGCAGAAAGGCTGAAATGTTCTGATGCCAGATTAAGCAAACTGGAATTTTAAAAAATCTGTCCAGGAATATGAATTGTTGAAGACTTTCACAGCTGTGGTGTTGTGCAGTTTCTGGGGTGTATGGCCCTGTTCTAGCAACATTTTCACCTGATGTTTCATTGCATCTATGGTTGGCATCTATGCCAGCCACAGATGCAGATGAAACATCAGGAGAAAATGCTGCTAGAACACGGCAATAATAATAACAACAACAACAGGAAAAGCAACTAGATATGAGGATTTAAAGTCAGTAAAGGTGGTCCCAGTGGTGATCGGCACACTAGGCGAAGTGCCTAAAGACCTTTCCCTGCATTTAAAAACAATTGGCTGTGACAAAATTGGCGCTGACAAAATTGCAGATGAAACGTCAGGAGAAAATGTTGCTAGAACACTGCCAACAACAACAACAGGAAAAGCAACTGGAAAAGCTTACATGATATGAGAATTTAAAGATAGAACTGCAAAGTCTCTGGCACAAGCTAGTCAAGGTGGTCCCAGTGGTGATTGGCACACTAGGTGCAGTGCCTAAGATCTTGGCCTGCACTTAAAAACAATCAGCACTGACAAAATTACCATCTGTCAGCTGCAAAAGGCCACCCTACTCAGATCTGCACGCATTATTTGCCAGTACATCACATAGTCCTAGACACTTGAGAAGCCAGCATAGTGATCTTGTTTGCTGTGTACTTATCTGTTACGTATCTAATAATAATAATAATAGTAATATTTTATTTATAACCTGCCCTCTCCCTAAAGGGATTCAGAGCGGTTTCCAAAGTATATAACTTATAAACAACCGAACTTAACCAAGGATAAACAAATAAATATAATATGGCACTAAAAGTCAGACCAATTTAAACACAATACATTTAAAGCATAATATAGTATACAGCTTGGAAACCACATGACCTCGCACTGTCCAGGAATAAATGGTGCTAGAGACGCTTTCAGATTGAAACCAAATGTTTAGCATGCTTTTCCCATAAGGGTTGATCCTAAACTAAACGTTACATTGACTTCAGGTTATTTTTATTAATTCTGTAGATCCATTTGGGGTTTTCTCCCCCAGTTCGTTTGAACAATTTTCCAATAATACATGGAAATTATTATTTAGAAATACCCAATACCTATGTCCTAAACCTGAAGTTGGAACTGAGATGTATCAACCAGAATGATTCATGATAACTGCAAGATGAAATGCAGGTGCTTGAATATTAAATGCATACACCAGCATCACGGTTCTTCATTATCTCTGTACAAATTTCTCGGCTTTTAGACAAGTGTGTCTTGTAAGCTGCAACAGCATCAAGCTTTGTGGACTTCTCTAGAAGTAGCCAGCAGTCATATATGGCAGTTTTCTAGATGCACATGCTCAAGAAATGTAAGATCGATATGAAACCGGCATCATGCAAGGTCTTTCCCATGACATATTGTGCTCTATGGATCCCAACAATACGACATTTGGTTGTACTTAGCCAAACATATTTGGAAAGCTTTTATGTCTGAAGGGTGGGATCCAAATGAATGAATGACAATGTATGATTCACAGTGGTCCAAAAACTATGAATTGACAAGAGGCACACATGAATTGCATTATGGTCAGGTCTGAAAGGGGGCCTCTGGTGGTGCAGTGGGTTAAACCGCTGAGCTGCTGAACTTGCTGACCGAAAGGTTGGCGGTTCGAATCTGGGGAGCGGAGTGAACTCCTGCTGTTAGCCATAGCTTCTGAGCAGTTCGAAAACATGCAAATGTGAATAGATCAATAGGTACCATTTTGGCAGGAAGGTAACAGCGCTCCATGCAGTCATGCTGGCCACATGACCTTGGAGGTGTCTACGGACAACACCGGCTCTTCAGTTTAGAAATGGAGATAAGCACCACCACCCAGAGTCGGACACAACTAGACTTAATGTCAGGGGAAACCTTTATCTTTATGTTTACTTATTGTCTAAAAGGTTTCAAAACATACTTGGGCATAAATCTACATATGAGTGAATCTCAACCTCTATTTTTTTTAAAAAAACTCCTCTTTCCAGAAAACTGTAAAACAAACACACCCACAACCTGCCACCTTCAGCATGAATGTAAATGACATATCTGTCTGCACTGCTTTAGTTCCCCTGTAGTGTGCAACACTCCTTTCTCAGAATCTGCTGTAAAGTTGTATCCTATTTATATAAATTATTCTCGGCACTAAGATGTACCTAGAAACAAGAATGGGAAGTATGTAGAAGTACATTAGTAGTGCACCTGCATTAATACTGTTGTTTTCACTGGATTAACATTTTACCTCCCAATTCCTTCTGGTCACTTTGTGTATATTAAATAAATAGTGTGATTTTTGTCGTTTTGTCAATAGCTTTTTTTAATAATTAGAAAAATAAAGTTTTTGATGTCAGCAGCTTTGTCAATTAAAACAAGGACAATATTACTCAGTTAAATAAATCCCAGCTGATTTAACTGGATAATGTGGTGGTTTTAAGCTTAAATGAGTTGAATTACAAATGAGAGGATGAAAAGATCATTTTAAACTTGCTTTTTAAAATGTTGTTTTACAGTAATCCACAGATATGTATGGTGACAGTGACATTAGAAGTGACATTCTCCACTTCCTAAGAGAAGGAATTATTTTAAGATACTGTGTTGTCGAAGGTTTTCATGGCCGTAATCGCTAGGTTGCTGTGAATTTTCG